TTAAAATGTGAGAAGTGTGCCTGACTTCCCAATGCCTACAAATCCAACAGACAGAGAGAATTACATTCCATGTAAAATTTAGAAATGAACTGTTGTAATAGTAATATTACAAGCAGAACCCTCAGAATATAAAATTAAAATTCTTGATTTTATTTTATATTCAGGTTATATTTAATGTATATTGTTTAATTCAAGAGAGATTAATTTAAACATTTTCTTCCATGTTTCCTCATTTTCAAAAGCATTAAACAGCTTAGCATATTACATCTAAAATCATATAAGCAATCATACGAACAAAAGACTCAACTATACTGATAATTTCTCTTTCAAAATTGAAAACCGGCCCCCGAAAGTATTCTAAACCCTGGGCTCAGGCTATTACACTTTACTAAACTGTTCCACTAGCAGTACTCAGTTCTCCAAATGTCTTCAGAGCTTAGTATATTTTACAAGGAACTTAGCAACATTTCAACAAGACTGATCCTGTTGACTCCAGAAAATCCTCAGAGGAAAATCACAACAAAATGTAGAAGAATAATAAAACCAACAATAGCTTCTTACTACTGCCTTGAGAACGCCCAAAACATTCATGGGGATATAAGTACTGCTTAACTATAATTAGGGATCCTTAAAGAAGAGAGAATGCCAGAATGTTTGTATTTTAAATTAGATGGAACCCTAACTTGTTAAATGCAAGAGCACCCAATCTGAGTCTACACCCCCATTATCTCCGCAGTCTACATCACATTCTTCAGAGTTAACACTTCTTCCCATTGTTGGACAAGACTGGCAGCTTAGCAGCTACATGGGTCTTATGTTCTTGTCCAAAACTTACCTTCAACGATTTCACCTGCTGAATTACCTCTGTTCTTTCTAGAGTACAAGAATGAATCTATTTTCTGTTAATGGTCTTGAAATAGATGTCTCCCATATTTCTCCCTCCCAAGTTATCATGGGCTGAATACATGACCCACTGACTTTCTGAGGCTTCTCACAGACACTTTTGGAGTACAGAGTACTTCCACATTGCCAGTAATCTTTTTAAAAAATCTGCCACGTGTAGATTTTTGGTGTATTATCAGAAAAGTCATTCTGAAAAGGCTAAGTACTGTATACACCTCAATCAAAACATATCACAACAGATACAAAGCAGAAGCAAAATCCAGCTGTTCTTCTAGTGAGCCAAAAAAATCATGCAAAAATACAGAACAAAACCACTAGCTATGCTAATTTCTTTCATTTCAGATCGTATTTTTCACCAAAATTTCACTTAACATGTAACTGGCTTATATTTAAAATTAATTAAAACTTTTGAAATTCCCAGTTTTAATACCGCAAATACAGCCGTTAATAATAATTCTTACTATGTAATTATCATACAGTAATTATTATTACTAAAATAATCTATTTGGAGCCAGGCAGTGGTGGCACAGGCCTTTAATCCTAGCACCTTAGAAGCAGAGGCAGGCAGATCTCTAGGAGTTCGAGGCCAGTCTGGTCTATAGAGTTAAGTCCAGGACTGCCAGAGCTATACAGAGAAACCCTGTCTCAAAAAAAACAAAACAAAATATGTACTTGGGATCCTTAGTAATGTTAAACAGAATAAAGGTGTGCTGAGACCAAAAAGTCTATAAAAGCATAGCATCTCTGATTTCCAGCCCTCTATCCTGGGTTTTCTTTTCTATGGCTTCAATATATACTAGCTCTTGAGCTAGAACCTTAAAAGATAAACACCGCTGCCCTCATCTAGGTGGTGGTTTCAGGGAATTGCAAGCCCACATCTTATTCTTAACAGGTCCCTACAGGTACTCAGGCACCTCAAGTTAAACCCTTTATTCAAACACGGAAATTAGCTGCTCTGTGGTGCTGTCCATCACTAACATTTGCACTATTCACAAGAAAGTAAAGTTACTCAGAACTAGAAGACTGGTGAGGAAGAAAGGGTACTGTCAATAATCAATTATTTGATTCGTAGCAATAATAAATTCAAAAAGTAACCATATGTTAACATGCAAAAGGCAAGGAATAAAACTCAATCTGCTTATTTAGCTGGCACACACCCAGCTACCAGATTTCAACAAATTGACCTTTCCTTGAAATGTGTGTCTTTCTTTTGTTGTCTTTTGGGACAGGTTCTCTCTATGTGGCTGTGTCGGTCCTAAAACTCCGTATGTCGACTCAAAGATTTCTTGCCTCTACCACCAGACTGCTGGGATTAAAGGTGTCCCACCATGTCCAATTGTGAGGGGAGGGGAGGGGAGGGGAGAGGAGGGGGGGAAGGAAGAGATACGGCTCAGTAGTTGCAAACACTTGCTGCTCTTACAGAGCACCTACATGACAGCTCACAACCGTCTGTTACTCCAGTTCCAAGTGATCCAAGACCCTCTTCTGACCGCCTCAGCACTAGGTATACATGTGGCACATACATAAACACAGAGAAAACACTCACATAAGGATTTAAAAATTAAAATAACTGAGATGGGCATGGTGGCACATGACTGTAATCCCAGCACTCAGGGAGGCTGAGGCAGGCAGACTGCTGTGAGTTCGAGGCCAGCATGGTCTACAAGGCAAGTCCAGGACGCACAAGGCTATACAAAGAAACCGTCTCAAAAAAAAAAAACTGACAAAAAGAGTTCACAAATATACATGTACCTAAGCACCTTTTGAACTTCACATTTTTCTCTGATTTCAAGTTAATTTAGTTGAGGTTTTAAGAAGCAAAGCTGTACTCTTCTTGATATATTCACTCAACACTCAAGTTCCACCAACATCTCTGAAGTCAAAAGTTCTCAGACTTAATCAATTTATGCAGCATATTAACACATATACCTGCAAAAGGAACTAAACACATATCAAAACTGAGACTCCACTCAATGATAAGCATTTCCATCTTAATCCTTGTGGCTTCCTATAAATAATTCCTGCTGACACTGGTAAAACCCAAGAACATGGAGCCAAAAAGAATAGAGGGTGAGATTAACACTTTTAATTACATGCTGGTTAATAAACAAAAAATGTCCCACAATGACCTTAAAAGGGCTGGGGTGTAGCCCTTCAGCAGAGCACTCACCCACTTTATGTAAGGTCCAACAGGGAAGGACAGAGGGAAGGAAGGAAAATTTGATGTCAAACATAACTTTCACAAAACCACATCCCACAACTTCAAGTCTTAACTGAGACTCTCTACCTTAGGTCAACAACAACAAACACACAAAACACAAAAACCGTAAACAAAACTGCTGGGGGTAGAGTGTTCTGGCTATTTGGAACTTTGAGTTAAATTATTCCAACCACTCAGAATTTATCAACGTCAGGAACTGTGCAGATCAGCACACATATGATGAGAAGTTTAGCTAGAGCTGATCTTCCTCAGGAAGTCCATCTGAATTTGGTGGCTGCCAAATTCCCAGGACTGATAACCGATGTCAACTGTTACACCAACACCTTGCCCTTAGCAGATTACCTCATAAAGGTTCTGGCTCATAGTAATGGCTCAATAAACACTCGAGAAATGAATGGGGAATTATTTTTTCAAAGATATAGTACTTTAGAAACCAAGACAGTCTTTCGAAACTCGGACTATCATTAGGCATCTTAATGAAACTAGAGTGGAAATATGCTACAAGCACCAACTGCCCTATTTACAAAACATACTTTAACCCATCTACTTACAAATTTTCAAGTTTATACATGCACATAAACATCTTATGAATTTTCAAGTGCAGAAAGAAAAACTCAGATGTATTAAATGCAAGTCATTCAATAAATAGGCTTTTATCTTCTACTGATGAAAAATCAGTGTCAGGGTGGGCTGAAAGGGAAAAATGTCTGTCGATGCGGTCGACATATTTAATGGATGCCATAAATCATACCTTCCCATCAATTTTCTAGCGCATATTCATGTCAATCTTTGAGCCTATTGTCACTTTCACACATGCTCAAGGGAACAAAATGACAAAGAATGCTATTGCCTGAACCACTGGATCCGGGCATGAAACATTTGATTAGCAATTACCGAGGTTCTGGATAATAAATATGGACATATTTTCAAAATGCATTAATCCTAACGACTCCTGCATGAACCGAAGCTCTGAATTTCTTTACGACATTCACTAGACTGGTGGACTTCCAAACGTTTTCTTCTTCTTCTTTTTTTTTTTTTTAAAAGGTGCCGATAATCTCCCTGCGAGACAACTGAGAGCCAACAACCCATTTGCCAACAGCTAACGAATACGGCTCCGCATTTTCCAGACAAAAGCGCGTTAAAATAGATCCGATGCACATCTGCTCTTCCAAAAATCCCATTTTACGTAGTATAGTTAAAGTTAAATGCAGCAAGTTCAAATTTTTAGTCAAAAGCACTCGATGCCTTACTAGCTGTGTGACTGCTACATCTGCTGGTAGAACACTTGCCTGCAGGAAGCCAGAAAACTTAGAAAACAATTGTAACCGATCTCGGGTGCGTGTTTAGCAGAAACCTTCCCGCAGGAATTTCCCACAAAAAAAAAAAAAAAACCACAACCGCCGGCGGGGAAGAACACGAGCCTACTCGCAACCCGCGGGCAGACCGCACGAACGCGCAGGAGCCGCCGGGGAGGGAAGGAAGGAAGGCAGGGAGGAAAGTTGCAACCATCTGGAGGGGTGGCTCGGGCAGCCTTGCCCACGAGTCGCTCTGCCGCTGGGATCGCTCTCGGGGGCCGCGCTGGGGATCCGAGCCGGGGCCCGGGCAGCCCGGAGCATTCCGGCGGCGGCCGAGGGGCATCCTCCCGGGGCCCGGGCGGCCCGGCCGGCGGCGCGGGGCCCGCCTCCGGGGGAGGAGGGCGGGCTAGGGGAGGGGGCTCGCGCGCCCAGGCTGCCGAGCCCCGAGGCCGGGAGGCCGAGCGGGCGGGGGCAGGCCTCCCGCCCGCGAACCGCCACCCACCCCCCGACCCCAGCCCGGGGTCCGCGCGGGCCGAGGGAGCCCGCGGGAGGGAGGGGGAGGGCGCGGCGGCGCTTACCTTCCCTGGGCCTCCCGGATGGCGGCGTGTGATTCAGCAGGGACCTGGCCGCCGCCGAGCCCGGGGTTGGAGACGTGGAGAGCCGGGACCAAGATGGCGGCCCCTCCAAACTTCCACTGCTACTTTGGACACTCATCAAGCTACTTTCTGGGAGCCCGACTCCCCCCCTGCGACGACGGCAGCGGCACCGGCACCCGCCTCCGTCATGGCGGGGGCCGCGCTGAGGGCGAGCGCGGGCGCGAGGGCTGGGAGGCGAGCGCCGCGCCGCCGGGGGAGCGCGCCGGGCGGAGGGCAGGCGGGGAGGGC